AGTGTGTTACTCTATAAAGTTGGGACAGTGGTGCCTGGTTTGCAGGGTCATGAGAGAAGGAATGCTCAGTAGCTTTGAGGGAGTTCTTGACCCTGGAGATCTGACTCCTGTGCATGGGATCAGGGACTTTCTAGATCAGGGAGTCATGCTGCCAGGAAGGTGGTCAAGGTGAGGCTCCCAGTCCTCACCCAGGATTCAGACGGGAGGTTAGGAAAGAGGTGAAAGGGCTGAGGGCCACCAGTAGGGACTGAAGCTGGAATGGGGCTGGAGATGAGATGGATCAGTGCCCTGGAGCTGGGCAGCCTGGGGATTTGGTGATGGGGATGGAGAGAAGTCAGAAGTGGCTGACTGGGGACTCCGGGAGGGAACCTCCAGGGTACAGACCTACTTCTAAGAGACCTCTTAAGCAGGCTCCTTCCTTCTCTAGCAGCTGACCGGGCCTCCAGTGACTCACTGAGATGCTGGGGATGGGCTTCTTGTGGCCCTGGAGGTAGGATGGGGAAGCTCAAGGCCCAGAAAGGAATCTTGGGGGCTTTAAAGGACTGCATCTTACTCATGCAAATCCAGGCCCAGGCCCACAGGGTCATAGGAGCTGAGGTTCCATGGGGTGGGGCTGTGGGCTACACTCTGCTCCAGGGAACCCAGGGCCCAGCATGTAGGCTTCCATGCTTTCCAGACATAATAGAAAGGGCTTTGTTTCCTCTTAATGTCCCAGTAAAGCTCCTTCTGAAAAATCCTGACCTCGTCTCTGGTCTCTGCAGCACCAAGAGAAAGGAATTCGTGGTTACCCCTGCCAGGAAAGCTTAGGGGATCAGAAGGGGGAGGGAGACCACCTCCATTCCCCTGTCCAGACCCGGTGCTGGGCCCGCCCTCTCCACCAGCTCAGTCCTCTCACCCCATTCTACAGATGAGGGGACTGAAGTGAGGGGAGGTGACCTACCAGGTCCACCTGAGGAGCTCTAGGGGGGTCATCAAGATTGGCCAAATCTGGGAACCTGGGTGAGCCAAGAAGTGCTGAGACAGCAGACTCCCCTTTTTACCGGAAGATCTCCCTACCATCTGTGGGGATTAATCCTCTCGTTTTCAGACATCTGGCTATCAACATCCACAGAGCAGCAACAGCCGCTGACATTGATGGAATGCTTTGCAGAACCAGGCCCTGTGCTGAGTGCTGTTCTTGGTTATTTCCTTTAATCTCCACACTTGCTTTCTTGTTCCTTTTCATGGATGAGGAAACCAAGACTTCTTGGAATTGTGACATTCCTCATAGGCAGTAGAGTCAGGTGATTTCTGATTGCCTGACTTTACTCGACAATCCCAAGCTCATCGGGTCACCTGAACCAAGCTCTCTCATTATCAAATAACTCTGCCTTCTTCATTACCCTCCGCATCCAGTCCCCTGCCTCTGAGCTAGGATCCAGCCACTGCTCTACCTCTATCACATGGGGGCCCGAACTGCATTTTGCCCCACCCCAAGCAGATGGAGCCCCATTCATGTTTGTGGCTGAATGAACAGAAAAATTAAAGGGCTCTGGCCTTGCTGTGTAGATACCAGCAGCTGGCTGGGTCTGGACATTTGGACTTGTCCAGTGGGATCTCATAGAGAGTCCCTAGGGAGTTAGATTCTGATACAGAGCTAAATGAGATCTGAGCTGGAGAAAGATGCAGTACCCTGAGGACTGGGACCTCTGCATCTCTTTGGGATGTAGATCTACACTGGTCCAGTCACTGGAACGGTGACTGGGAACTTGGCTGGCACAGAATGAATTGACACTTGACTGAGTACAAGGTCTTCAACCTTTGTTCTTCGTGAGGCTTCTCCACCAAAAAAACCTGCCAGGGGCATGACCTGGAAAGGAAGCCACTTCTCAACAGTTTCTGCATCCCGCTATGCGAGGGAGCAGGTCCTTCATTGAGCACTGACTGAGCACTATTTATATACATCCAGAACTGTGATGACAGAGATGGGCGGCAAAGACTCCGTGACCTGGAGGAGCTGCTGCAAAGTGTGGTGGGGAGCTGATCTTTGGGTAGACCTGTTCACCCAGCACCCTCTGGGGGTACAGTGAGTGTGGTTGGCCTCACAGATTGTGGGCTGGGGACCATGCATCCTGTGTGGCACCGGGTGAGCACGCAGAAAATATTAGTGATGGTGCTACTTAACTGTTCCCTGTAGGTTTTTTGTTTCTTTGCTAGGTCATGTTTTGTGAGGACGGGGATGGTGACTACTCCTTCTCTTTGTCTTCCCAGATGCACAGAAGTCATCCAGGGAAACTTATGGCAAGTCACATAGGAAACTTACAGGCATATCTTCAGCTCCTTCCTGCTCCTCACCCTCACATCCATTCAGTGATCAGGTCCCACTGATTCCAACTCCCAACCTCTCTCGCTTCAGTCTCAACCATTCCTTCTGTCACCTCTTTCCTGAATTCCTGTGCAACTTGCTAATGTGTCACCCTGCTGCTTGACTAAAATGGACTACAAATCACTCTGTGATGTGTAGTCAAAGTGACAATTCTTAGAAGGAGGTTTGGGCATGCCGCTCTCCTACTTAGCAACACCACTCTCAGTGGCCCCATATTGCCTTGTTACATACAGAGAGGTCCTTTCTACAGCCCTTCCGGGTCCTATGTCCAGGGGCCTCCCTATTCCCACCGCTTGCTCCCAGTACTTGCAATCCTGACTGTGTTGCATTCTTCATGCATCTGTGACTTTGCATATGACCCCTGACACTGTGCCTTGTTCTTAGCATGTACTTGCCCACTTCAGCCTGCCCCCTAACTCTGTCCTCTCCTCAGGGCAGGCACTGCTGACACCAGCAAGCCCTTTGAAATCCCCCTTCTGGGCTGGATAGAAACCTCTCCTCTGGGCTTCCAGAGCCCTCTGAGTTTATAAAGCACATTTTCATTCATTCCACAAATATTTATTCCACAGAGCACCTCCTCTGTGCCAGGCATTATTCCAGGTGTTAGAGATACAGCGGTGAGCGAAGCAGCTGAAAGTCCCTGCCATGGAAGTGTGCATGTCCCACAAAACTACCCATAAGGGCTGAGAACCTGTCCCCACTGGAGGTGGGCTCCTGGAGAGCAGGCGGGGCTTCCTCAGTATTCAGCACTAGGTGTTGTTCCTAAGTGTTTTTGGATATTTGGTGCATTTCAGGAGCTATGCTTGATGCTGGGGAGGAAAAGTGAACATAGCAGAAATAAATGTAATCTAGGGGCTCTGAGAGCAGCTAATGCAATGGTCAGAAGCACAGCTCTGGGCCCAGGTGCCCGAGTGCAGGACCTCAGTCTGCCACTTACTGGCAATGCAACCTTGAGCAAGCTACTTAACCTCTCCATGCCTCAGTTTCCCCATCTGAAAAATGGGTTAGAATACTAACTATCCTATAGTGTTGTCAAGAAGATTAAAAGTATCAATATTTGTAAAGTGCTTAGAATAGTGTCTGGCACACAGTAAGTACTTTATAAATAAGTAAATATTTAGCTGGGCATGGTGGTGCATGCCTATAATCCCAGTGGCTCAGGAGGCTGAGGCAGGAGGATCTCAAGTTCAAAACCAGCCTCAGCAACTTAGCAAGGCCCTAAGCAACTTAGTCAGACCCTCTCTCAAAGTAAAAAGAGGTTTGAGGGTATGACTCAGTGTTTAAGCACCCCTGCTTTCAATACATGGTACCAAAAATTTTTTTATTAAACAAAGGAATTATAATACAGAGACTCTGAATGTAAAGAGTATTGGATTCAAATCTAGTACTTCCCTCTGTCAGCAAAGGCAAGTCAGGGAGTCAGGCTGAACCTGTTTCCTCATCTGTGAACTGGAGATAATAATATTTCCCTCTAAGAGGCTACATCTCCTGGGATTCTAAGAGTCCACATCTGTAGGGTAGAACCAGGCTTCTGCAAGGTACTTCTTCTATAGAGGCAAAAATCTGGATCCTGCCTTTGAGGGCCTTGTACTCAGATGCCACTCGCTCCATGAAGCATCCCTTGAATCCTGTGGTTTTGCCCTCATTGAACTCTCATGAATCCCTGGACCTCTTATGGGCTTTTGCTTTAAATTCCAGTTCTGAAACAAGCTGGTTGTGTGGCATTGAACAATCACTTTCCTTCTCTGAATCTGTGTGTGTGTGTGTGTGTGTGTGTGTGTGTGTTAAATCTGTTAAGGGAGATAGAAATCACACTTAACAGAGGATCATTGCTGGAATCAAATGAGACAATGTCTGCAAAGCACTAAAATGCGCCTGGAGTTAGTAGATGTTCAGTAAATGGCAACTCCCTTTCCTCATCTTCATCTTATCACGGTCCCCTGACTGGCCTGCCAGTTCATTGAAGAGTCTGATTTAACTCTGTAGTTCCTGGACATGGCAGATGAGAAAGTCAGCAAAACCCATGGAGGAATGAGTGCCGGGAGGCAAACCCATGGGTGCCTGTGCGGGTGGATGGGATGTTTCTTGGGTCTGCTCAGGAGCATTCCAACCCTTTGCCCCGTGAGATCCTCTTCCACACCCCTCCCACCTTGGGACCTCTGCACAGATGGAATCTTCCTCCTTTCCGTCAGGGTCTGGTCAACCATTCCTGTCTCAGCTCCAGGATCACTTCCTCCAATGCCCATCCCCACCTGCCCCCACACACAGCCAGAGCCAGGTCACCGTCTAAGGTCAGAGCCAAAGTACTTTGAAGAAGTACTAATTGTTTCTACCCCCACTGGGATATAGACCCCTCGGGAGCAGGGAGAGTGCATTTATGTATCCCAAGAGCTCAGCACTGTGCCGTCCAAAGAACAGGCTCTCAACATCTGTTGAAGAAAAGTTGGCCTCTGAGCGAAGAAACCAGCCCTCTTGGTTGGCGGCATGTATACCAGCTCCTTGCTCTTTGCCAGCCCAGCATCTTGACCTGGAACCCTAAGCAAGCTAGGCCCCCCACTTCCTCTCCTGTCCACGAGCAGTAAGGGTACATGGGGGTCCCTGAGGTAAGTGGAGGGAGAGGGGGTGCCAGGCATACCTCTGTCACAATGGTGTCCCTGGTGGTGTTGTAGACCCAGCCGTCCAGGCACGGCTCGGTGGCCCCCTGGGTATCATTGGGCAGGCTGGTGTTTGGCAGATGTACGAAACGGAGGCACTTCTCAGGCTCCCCATTCGGGCCCATGGGGAGTACCCAGGGCCCTGCAGAGGTGTTGGGAGGCGGGCGACAGTGGTGGGCAGGGGTGGTGGCTGTGAAGATCTGCAGCAGGTTGTGGTTGGCCATGCCGAGGATTGGGAGGGCGAGCAAGGTCACATGCAGGTACTGGAAGGGGCCCATGCTGCCCACACGGTCCAGAATCTCGGGGAAGGTCATGGTTCCAGGCAAGACGAGCCAGAACTGTAGGCAAGGCAACAGGTGGGGGGGAGGTGTGTGTGGATGTGTGCACGTGAGCCCGGGGAAGACTGCAGAAGCATGTGAATGAGGACATGCCCAGATGTGTATGTGAGCACGAGTGTGTGGTGCTGTTTGTATGTGTAAGATGTGGGGGCTCAGGTGTGTGCATAGATTCATGTATGGATGTACAAGGATGAGCCAGGTGCATGGAGAGATTGGGGGATATCAGGTGTGGGCATGTGCCCAGGTGTGTGGGCGTAGAGGGGTCTACAGGTACAGGTACATTGAGGCTGGAGCATAAAACGCTCAGCCGGGTGACTCTGTGCGCGTGTGTTGTATGTGTGCACTTGTGAGTGACTGTGTGTGCTCAGCTAGACTGGTCACACAGGCTGCATGTATGGGACAGTGCAGGCCACACAGAAAGGACCAAGAGGACCGGCGTTGGATGTTGGCTATGCAGGATGGATAGTGGGGTTGGGTGGGGACGTCCTGATTGTTTCAGGCAGACACACAAGGCTAGAGGACCCAGGCTGCCTGTTAAGAAGGGCCTCCCCAAGCCTAAGCTCTAAGCCTCCTGACTTTTTGTTGTTCCCTGGGGCTAGGACCTTCCATGTTAGAATATCAGAAAGAACCCAAGTAGGTCCCAGAGGGCACTAGAGACTCTACCAGAAATGGTGGAAAAGTAGGGTCTGGCCTTGCGGGGTAGGGAGGGGTCCTGGGTGTTGGGCTTGAGGGCCCTCCATCCCTTCTCACCTGGTGGCTGGGTCTGGCTTTGGAGGAGCTGGAGGTAGATGGAGACGAGGTCCCTGCTCTGTCCTAGGGTCCGGCAGCTGCTGAGGTTGGACAGCTCAGCTCTAACAAGCGGTGTTTGTGCCTCCCTCAGGGGGGCCTTATATAAGGCATAAGCTGTTTCTGGGCTAATGTTTGACTTTCTTGGGAGGATTAACATCACTGGCAGGGAGAGTGCTGTGGACCCACCAAGCCCAGCTCTCCAGAAAGGGCTGCCTCAGCAAAGGCTGATGGGAGTGGGGGGTAGGGGTGGTGGAGGGGGACTGTGTGGCTGAGCGTAGCAGGGGTGCCGGCTGGAAGAGGGCTGGGCAACCCAGGCAGACTCACCTAATAGAGTGTCTGGGAAGGGGTCTGGCCTGAGCCCTGATAGTCCAGGGTCCAGGGTTCCTTGACTCTGATGTTCTGAGAAAGACCAATGGGAGAGCAGCTATTGCCAGTGGGCAGACAGCATTCTCTACCAGATCACCTATTTCTGCCTCCCAGGTAGGTGCATGGGGGTTGCCTCCCAGGAAGTATCAGGACATATCCAGGTAGAAAATGTCCCCGACATCTGTCCTTAGGCCCAGGGCTGCCGTACATTGGCCCCCTGGAACAACTAGGGTCTCCCCTGCTTGAGACTCTGCCACAGGCCACCCCTTGCATCCTACTCTCAATGGACACAAGTGGATGCTTCCTTCTGAGGACCAACTATAGTCTCTATACTTTTTGTTTCTCTGAATATAATTTTAATTATATAATAACATGTTTCTTGCACAAAATGTAGGGTATACAGACAAGCCAAATCAAACCAAACTAAATATACACGGTTTACTGGAGAGTCAACCATGAAGAGTTTAGGTATGTTCTTCTAGCCCTTTCTTCTGCAAATATTTTAATTTAAGACAAGAAGCCAATTGTAGGGTCAATGAACCCTCACAATAGCCATGTTACTCTTTGGCATAATCAATTAGGAAACGGAGAGGTTAAGTAACTTGCCCAGGGTCCCTCAGTCAGGAAAAGTGGCCGGGCGGGGGCAGCATGGCTCAAAGCCCATTTCTGGTCCTCAGGGCCAATGTTTTCTGTGTCTATGGGGCACTGTGCTATGTTGCTTCTCCCTTAGCAAAGTCACCTCGCCTGGTCTCCATCATCACCCCTGCCTGACTTGTCTTTTCCTATGTCCAGGGACTCCTGGGTGCTGCCCATCCTGCTGGCTCTGGGGCTAGGAAGGGGCACACTTAGGGCTCACCTTCTTGGCTCTCCTTCTCCTCTTCCTGGCCCCCTTGTCCACCAAGGAGGCATCCGGCCCCAGCGCTCAGCCTGGGTTCCTCCTGCTGAAGTGCCCGCAGCTCTTGCCCCCTACTGCAGGGCAGGCTCAGCGGCTAAGCCGTCCTGCCCCTCCTCTCCACTTACCACCTGGGCGCAGCAGTTATTGATGTTCTCCCAGTGGCCTGAGGCAGGGCAAGATCCGGAGTCATCAAAGGAAGATTAAATTATGCTCCAAGGCAGCCAAGGGGTTGTTTTAGGAAGGTTTTCGACTGTGAGGCTTGCAGGGAGTTGGGCTGCAGCTCCCAGCCCCCCCTGTTCTGGGTATTGGCCCTCTTAGAGATTTTCTGGTTCTTAATTGGCCTGGGTTATCCGTCTGTTCCTGACCTAGTGGAATGTTGTTTAAAGGCGCCTGGAGACTTCCCTGAGGCTGCTGGGGTTGAGCCAGAGTATACATATCCCAACTGCCCAGTCAGGGGTGGCCCCATCCGGGCAGCGCCCCCAGGCCCCAACGGATATGATTTGGTTCCTGGTACCTGGATCAAGGCTACTGGGAATTGTGTGATGCACTTGTGTGACCTTGGGGAAAAAAATCACCTCTCCCTTGGCCTCTTGCTTCTCATCATTAGTTAAATGGCTTTTTCAAAAAAGCATCAGAAACCTTTTATTCAAACAATATATTGGGTTCATAAAATCAATATATAAAGCAGACAATAGGGGAGGTGCTCTGGATGAGGTGGGGGAGAAGGTGGCCAGAAGGGTAACCCTTCATCACCTCACTCCCCGCATACTCTTAAATCCTCTGCCCTAGGCTGCCCCTGCCAGATGCATCTCCACTATATTAGGGGACACATCACTTCTTCCATGCTGTGATCCTAAATTGAATATGTTCAAATTGACTTTTGTTTTAAAAAGAATTTATGTATTTGGGAAATCTTACATGCTAAATGCATTTTAATTAGAGATATGGAAATAGATTTTTTTTCTCTTTTTCTTCTCTCCCTCTCTCTCTTCCTCTACCTTTCTTTCTTTTTCTTTTCATCTTTATCTAAACTCTTCCAGGATCTCCTTTAAGCTGAGCTAGGTCCAGGCAGTTTCCCCTGGTTTCTGCCAGATCCCAAGAGGGATGTGTGCTTTGAGCTGGATGGGTCCAAGAAATCATCAAGGCCAATGTCCTCATCTTCCCCATGGGAGATTGAGGTCCATTGAGAAGGGGCACAGGTCTGATTCCCAGTGGCCTTGGCACCTCCACAGTAGACAGCCTTTCTAAGTCTTAAAATCTTGGAGGCAGAGGAATCTTGTTCCCCAGGAGCAGTGGGGGAGCAGGAAGCCTCACTGAACTTTCTGTGGGCCATCTTCTCTCTCTTTTTTTAAAAAATATTTTTTTTTTATTGTCGATGGGGACTTTACTTATTTATTTGTATGTGGTGCTGAGAATTGAACTAGTGCCTCACATATGCGAGGCAAGCGCTCTACCGCTGAGCCCCAGCCCCAGCCCTGGCCATCTACTCTTCTACCACTTATTCTTCTATCCATCCATCTCTTCCTTTCCATCCAATATAGATCATGAGGCCCTGTCTGCTTGTTAGTGCTGACAGCAACCCAGAAGCAAAGGAGCACGCAGAGACTGACCTCAACACCACAGGAACGCCCAGCTTTGAGAAACTGGATTGGAGTAGTCTGGAGAAAGTGTCTTTGACACCAGCCTTTGATGACAGTGGGTGGACTGGGGTCAACAGGTAGAATTGGAGAAGGATGTGAGTATAGGATGGGCTGGGGAAACGAGAGACAAGATGGATGAATTAGTTTCGGTAGAATCTCTCCTCTCTCCCAGCTTGGTGGCCTTGGTCTCAGGGGCTGGGCATCTCTGTGACGGCCTGAGGGGTCATGATTTACTGGACTTCTCTGTACCCCTGGGAATAGAAGAGGGAAAGCTCTTAAGGTGTGTGAGACAAATGAGGCACCAGGAATTGACTGGGTCACACTCAGTGGTGCCCAAGTTCACTGGGCAGAGACTGGGTCTCTCTCTCCTTAGGACGATTCCACCTGGCAGGTGGCCTGCTGCTGCCTGCCTGCTCTCCACTTCCTCAAGGGTTCAAGGCAGGCGCTGTATACCTGTGACTCCTGTCCTGCTGTTCAGAATGGCCCCAGCGGGGGATGGTGAAGCATTCAGTAAGTTCCAAAGGGCCAGGAGCGATTCTTCCCTGGTAGCCGAGCAGGGGCCTCTCAGCTCTGGAATCAGTCACGGCCTTATTAGAGTCCACAGACTCAGCCCCAGTCCTTGGGCAGCTCCAACAGTATAGGTGGCCTGTGTGGGGAGGCTTCAGGCTGGATCCGGGTAAGAGGAGTCCTCTGCCCTCAAAGTCAAATCCCTGCCTCCTCTCCATGGGCTGATTCTAAAATTGCCTTCATAGGATCCAGGTCATTCAGGGAAGGGGATTCCACAGAGCTGGATGTGAACCTTGACTCCCCTTCCACGAGCTAGCCTTGGGCTGGATAACTTCCTTTCAAGTCTCAATTTTACCAGTAAAAATGGGCATACAGGATGGTGGAGATTTTATATATAAAGTACATAAAGCCTGAGCAGAGAGCCAAGCACATAGTATTTAACCTGAGGGTCTGCTCCGAGGGAAGAGGCCTCAGAAAGGCTGGGCGCTCCTGGAAAAAGAGGAGGACGAAAAGGCTGCTGGAAGAAGGCAGGAGGGTACCCTTTGGTCCCTAGGGTACTGGCTGGATGGACTTTGAGGAGGCTGGACCTCTTGGTACCTCTCTGGGTACCTGGAATATGCTGTGGTCCAGCCGAACCTGCAGGAGCCCATCACTTTCCAGGCAGGCTGTGCCTCAGCTGTCATGGCAGGTGGCAAAGGGCAGGGACACAGGACACTTCCTCGACCCAGAAGGACAGAGGGGCTGTGGTACTGGGACCTTGCAGCTGGGCAAGGCTAGAAATGGCTCTCTGAAGGAATGGCAGGGAGAGTCGCCCCCTTCTGGTTTGTATCGCGAATTGCACGTCTTTCCTCAACATGGCGTGGCTGTTTTGGAGCCCCCTCACCACGCTCCGGAGCCCAGCACAGGGAACAGATTTTTGTGGATCTGGAAGCCCCCGCACACTGGAAAACTGCCCTAAGAACTCGAAGTGGGGGGGAACCCGGGCTGCCGCTCCTTAGCTGCAGGCTGATGGGACAGATGCCACAGTCCCTCTGTCCTCAGCACGGTTTTCTGCTCATCAACTCTCTTAAGCCCAGGGGGTAGACCTCAAAGCCCAGGGAACCAGGTGATGTGATGAGTAGGGTGGGCCAGATGTCGCAACAGCAGGTGGCGGGTCTGCAGAGAACCGCAGAGCGCAGGTCCAGTCTGAAGGGGGCAGGGGCCGCTCAGCGCCAGCTGGTGTTGCCATGGGGATATGCAGGCTCCGGGTTGCCAGATCTTCAGATATTTTAAAAATAGCTTGAAATCTGGACTTTTGTGTGAAAATTTTCCAATTGTGTAGGCGACCCCTCCTCCCACCTTCTGGAATCCCTTTGTCTTCTCTCTTCTTCCACCCATAGGGGACACAGGCTCCATCAAGGGGTTCCTTGTGGAGGAAGGTAGGATTGCCTTGGATTTCTCCTCACACCTCCTTCTCGCTGGCCTTCAGGAATGTATTGATTCTGCAGACATTTATCCCATACCTGCCCTGGGCTGGGCCTTGCACAGAAAGGGCCAAGGGAGCTGGTGAAGCCGGGAGGAAATGGAGAAGACAGCCTTGCTCTGGGGCTTCACAGACCCAGGGAGGGAGCCCAGAGCTGATAGGAACCCAGGGAACCCATGCCACGTGTCAGGCACCTGGGGACACCTTCCCACATACCTCTTTCCTCCCTCTATGAGGACACACTTTAGAGCTGTGTGGTTTCCTCCCTGTGATGCCACCCACAGTGGGGCTGAATGGATTAGTACCTCCCTGTGCTTATTCCCCCTCAGCATCTCTATACTCGTCCCCTCGAATGTCCCCTCCTCAGAGAGGCCTTCCGAGACCCCATGAGCTCCAGCAGCACCCCAACTCCAGGAATGCTTTCTCCTCTTCACAGCGGTTACCACTGCCTGAAGTTATGTTCCCTTTTATCACCTGTCCCATTGCTGCTGACTGAAAGGTTGTGAAGGGAGAACCTGGTTCTCACATATTGACTGCTATTAGGGCTCATGGTCGGAGCTTGGTTTCATGTTTAGCAGATGTGGAGGTTTTCTTTTTTGTTTTTGGTACTGGAGATAGAACCCAGGGGTGCTTTACCACCGAGCTACATTCCCAGCCCTTTTTATTTTTTAAGACAGGGACTCACTAAGTTGCTTAGGGCCTCTGTAAATTTGCTGAGGCTGACCTTGAACTTGTGATCCTCCTGTCTCAGCCTCCTGAGTCACTGGGATTACAGGTGATGCCACTATGCCTGGGTAAATTGGAGGTTTCAAACAATGTCTCGAGGTCTTAAGACTCTGGAATCATCTCCCTCAGGTACAATCCTTTTACCTCTGCTGGGCGTGTCTGTGGCAGAACCCTCCTTTCTGCCATCCTTCTGGGGCCCTGAACGCCCCGATCCACTTTCAGGAAGCAGTCTTAGCAGAGGTGGTGTTCAGTCCTTGACCCTACTTTCTGGAGCTTGGTGTTCTCAGTTACGAAATGAGAACAATGATAATAGTTCTAATCGTATAAGGCTGTGGTGGGGGTGGGTGCCTGTTGTGTTGGGAGGTGGTAAACTCAAAGCCTGTCATGGGACATGGCGTCCCTGCATCTCTGGCTCCTGGCTGGGAGCTCAGAGCCCATTTGACACTCTCCTCCCCCACAGACTGGTGCAGTTTTTCTGCCTTCTTTGTTTTCTGTCCAGGGCCATTGCACAGACCTGCTCTGTGGTTGGCCCCCTCAGCATAGAAGAGCCAAGGGATGAAGATGGGCTGAGCTGCCAGCAAAAGCAGTATGGAGGAGAAGAGGCCACAGGTGCAGGGGAAGATGCTCGGAGCCTGTGGGAGCCCAGCTCAACTGCCCTGTCCTTGTCCTTCCTTGGGCTTTAAGTTCCCCTCCTGGAGAGCGGGACTGGCAGAAGCAGCTTTACCTTGGTGGTACAGGCACAGTGGGGCTCCTGCTGTGGAGGACTTGGCAGTGGGAACCAGTTTGATGCTAAAGATGCCAACAACTAGATAAATGGCTGCTCTAGTTAGGGGAGGAGCCTGGTCTGGGGCTGATAGTGGGAGAAGAGTCAGTTGGTTTGTGCCCAGGTGCCTTCCAACTGACAGGATGCAGAATTATAGATGAGGTGGGGGTGGATGCTGCCCACCTCAGGGTTCTGGCCTCATCTTAGTTTCATCATCTCTGTTGATGAAATTTAGAGAAGTAAAATTTATCATGTTTGCAGAGAACCCAAAGCTGGGATAGAG